TGCCGAGGTCATTTTTATTTCTACATGCCCATGCACAGAAAACAAATGTTCTCGTAAGACTAAAACGCTCTAGTCAGCGCTGTTCCCGAATTGGTATTTCGCCAGTGATTGTGAAATTTTGACAGGTCTATACACGTGAAGTAGGCGTGAAATAAAGCTGAATTTGAAATCATTAGCATACACAAGATAGAACATCCCTACGAAATTTCAATTTCTTACTTATCTGTTTCCCAAAATCGTTTTCCTGCCGAAAATTTACACATTTTCTTTAGGCGATAAGCAATATTCAAATGTACATGGGCAATAATTTTAAAATGGGAGGGTCGCACATGGGTTGCTCACATGCTCCAAAACTTTCTTCATCTTAGCTCCTCTGGTTACTAAGTTCGGAGTGGGTGACGAAATGCGAACACGTGGACATGCGCATACATACACGCACACACGACCTCTTGTCAATATGTGTTTTTGCATTTGCATAAACATACAAAGATGCATAAAAAGCAAGCAGTGCTGCACGAACTGATGAGAATAGCTCACGCAATTTAGAAGAAGACTGAGTAATTTAAGTTTGAATCGGGGCATTTATGCGGAGCCTGAAAAAATTTGATGGGGAGACATAGTCCGCACAGTGGTATAATGAAGCGGAATATCGTTAAAAAAGGACAAGTATGAAATTACAAAACTAGGAGCATACGTCAAGCCTTTGGTTTTGCAAAAACGAGTGAAACATTCTGTGGAATAAGAAATGGTTTGGAGGGCTTATTGAATTCAGCTGAAAAAGGCTAGATTGAATTAGCATTTTTACGTTAGAATGTCGCATCTGCAAACTTCGCTTTCTTGCTGATTTCTGTGTAAATTGCGAAATTTGTTAACTTTTGAAATCGCCGAGATTCGACTGCTCTGGACTGATAAGTTTTTTGCACCGAAATTGTAGAAAGAGCAAATTTGGATTTTCTTTTTTTGAAAAACCAATTTCTTATAGAAACAGGATAAATTCTGAGTTTGGACTCTTTACCAAAATGACGTGAGGCGAGTCTGTTTCCTATTTCTGGTATTACTCGCTTAAATTCGCATCTTACCAGCCTTTTTAACTGCATTTATCAATCTTTATTTGACGTATTTTTACATTCTTTCTTGACTATTTTTAACATTTCTTCGGTTGAGTTTTCGCTCTCTAACATGATTTTCTTCGAGCATGTGAATAGGCTGCAAACTAAATCTTTTGGACTTTTTATGCTGCTAAGGAAGAGTTTCACACTGTTTGTTCTTAGGGCAGAAAGGCATTAGTATAATTTTTTTAGTGCGAAAAGATTGCTCAGCTGCTGCGAATTTTGCACGGTCAACTGTATGAAATGCATCCACACACGAGACGTAGCAGTCACACGTTCCTTCGTTAGTATCGACCACCTGTTCGATGTACGCCACAGATTTTTTACAAC